CGAAATAACCCCACGGCTGGAGATAAGATCACAGGATTACGCGCATGAAGTAATTTATTATGGGAGAAGCAGCGCTTTTCTTGACCTTAGCCTTCCTGGGGCCTCCACGCTTCCTTTTTTCCTCCTATGCGCACAAGATCAATAAAACTAGAGTCTCTCAGAAGTCTCTGTGTTGGAGAAATCCCTGAAATGTATCTCAGATTGTATATGGAATCCCTTCGTAACATACAACAACCTTCGTTTATAGCACTTCTACGTTTATGATACTAAAGAATTGCGTTTATTGCTTTTAAATCGCTTAGTTTGTTAATCAGTAACAGACAGATTATATTTTAAAGAAAAATTAAATGTTTTACGTTTCGCTAAATAACAACACATTGATTAACACACGTAGAAGATTATTTTATATCGAGCAGTGGCAACACATTTTTTTTTTTTTAAATCACTAAGTTCTGTAGTTAAATATCAAAGATAAATATCTTATGCTTATTTTTTGCCGAAGGCAACACAATTCTTACAATTCGCCAAGTTTTCTGATTAAATTTGAAACATAAATATCTTACGCTTTGCAGAGTGGCAACACATCGCTTTTTAACCGAGTTTATTAATCAAGAATTTATTAACTTCACACAAAATATGAAATAAATGAAAAACAAATTAAAAATTAGAAATTTTGACTTCTAAGTAATACAGTTAAGTAGGGGGGAGAGCATTTATTATTATTAATTTTAAATGAATGGTCCATCTATAGAGTAAAATTGCTACAGTACAAGCATTTTACATTTATGCTGCTATAATATGCTAATAAAAGGTAAAATTTTTAAAACTAAGAAATGAATGTCGAAAAAAAAAAGAATTAAAATATCGTAATGAAGAACAAGAATTTTGATTTGAGAACTCAATTGATCTGTTAGAATTAGATCTGATTTATCGTCAAATAATCCGCTTGAAAATATGAAATGAATATTGATTACGGTCGAACACGAGATATAACCGGATTTGAACGGCATAACTCTTTCCACAAAATCAGATAAATTAGCCTTCAATAAGTTTTTTTTTTTTTTTTAATTGTGTACCCGGAAAGTACTAGGGTTACCAAATTTCTGCAACGTTAGAGGGAAGGAGGGGACAAAGAAATATGAGCCTATTATAAGTGGTAGCGTTTATATCGCGATGCTTTCTTAAGTTACGTTATTTTTTATGAGTTTAAAGAAAGTGCCTAAAAGAGATTCTGCCATTCCCCCCCACCCTCCCACCTTCTCAAAGCTGACTAGTTCCCCCCCCCCTTGAAAACTGCAAAACTACCACGATCAAATGGGACTTAAAACGTTTATTCGCTTTAATTGCTTTGTTCCTATGTTTCTAAATTTCCTATTTGTGTATTTAAAAAATTTTGAAGGTGCCTTAGAAGGAAAAAAAAAAAAAGTTTTTTACCTTAAGCTGGCAGACGATCAAACAGAAAGATTTCAAACGAATTATTAAAAGCAAAGTAAAAAAAGCAACGAAAAGATGCCGCAAAATTTGAAGCAAAATCGAGATGAGATTCATTTAAAAAACGAAAGACTGTTGGCCACTAAAGTGCTCATCAGAAGAAATTTAAAAGGCACTTTCGTTCCTCATTAAATTTTTAAAAAACATAAACAGCATTTTATTGTACTTAAAACCATTTATTTACATAAGAATTTTACCCACGGCTAATAAAAATGCAATGGGAAACGAAAAAGAAATCCAAATAAAAATAACTGTACGTCTCTCCGAGCAAAATCGGAACTATTGCCAGATTTATGACAAATTTTGCCAGAAATATACTCAAATAACTTATGATCTTCATAATGAATAATGGCAAAATGCAAGAAGTCTTCCGACAGCAAGTATTCCAGCAAAAGCTCATCTTCGAATAAATTAATAAAATTTTTAAATGACATGTTGAACATTGCAGTAAGGTTGAAAAAATTCTAAATTCGCTTAAATTTAAGGTAATATTTTGCCAAAAGATATTACAGATTTCTGTCAATAATTACTTGTATGCATATTCTAATCTAGCTAAAATTATCAAAAACAAAAACAAACAAACAAACAAACAAAAAAATCTGAACTTGTCCATAGAAGATCAATGTTTAACTTTTTTTTTGCAAAGTTCAAAACCTACTAGTTTTGACGTAAATCAAAAGCCTTTCAATTGAATAGCAAACTTGATAACGCGAAGTCTGTTTTCTTTCAGTTCTAATAATAGGAAATTAATGTTTATGATCGATTTTAAAAGGCGATCCAATCCAATCAACGCAACTTGTGTTCTATAGCCCAATATCTATGTATAACGTTCAAAATAATTTAGTATTTTGCTTTCAAATTTCTCACGTTTTATCAATACAAAATTCAATAACAATTAAACCTCAGAAATTGAAGATATTTAGCAGTTTACCAGCCGTTTTAACACAACTGCCTGTTTAAACATCCCTTTGAATTGTATGTTGTCTGCATTTTAAAAAAGCTAAAAAATAATCACGTAATGTTAAGCAGTGATAAATTTGTTACAAGTAACAGATGACCAACAAACGTTCTCTTCTCCTACGTATGACATCTACTCATCAGCTATTCGAGTTATCGCAGAAAATATATGCACATTTTTTCAGCGCATCCTGTAACTATAGAAAAATTGGCTTGTATCTAAGGTCATAGACGTTCAAACCTCATCAGAAAGTTACAACTCAGTTGCGGTTACAATATTCCAGGCATCACAGCAAGTTCCTTTTCCGACCGCCATTGCAGTGTAGCAACTATCAGCGCTACACTACCCCCTTCCCCAGCTTTTCAGCGTTAAAACTGCAACCAATGAGATACCGAGATTTTAGATTTAAGATCTTTGATTGGTTGGACGAATATTGTTCCTTTGCTGTTCAAGGGGAAATAATAAGTATATGTTGAAAAGGTAGTGTGCTGCCATCTATTGAGAGACTGAGAATAATATTCAAAAAATAAATTCGTGTGCCGGTTTAGGAAAAGAGAATTTTATATTAATATAAATTACAATTATCAACAAAGTTCGTATCTTCTTCTAAATTTTTATTCTTTTTGCTTTATAAATGACGTCAACTTTCCTTTTATTCTTGTTTTTTCTCTTCTGAATCTTATTTAATACTACTTAACTTGTTAACTATGATAGAAAGAACATGGCAAAGTAACTTATTTAATTCATATCTTTTTTAATTATGATGGAGAGATAATATGACTATTTAAGATCACTTCGCAAGAGAAGAACCTTGGTTCTTTGTAAGCAGAAACGAGTTCGGGATAATTTTCAGAGAAATATTAACTTTTATCAAATTTTGTAGTTGTTGAAAGTTGTGAAAAGTGTCAGCAAGTTTAAACAATTACTTTTTATATGAAATTTTTTTCAAGTACTTTAATAAAAAAATTTAAAGTGCTCATTTATAAAAATTTTATAACGAAATTCCATTTCTGCTAGAATTTTGAATTCAGTTTAGGACTTGGAGGAAGCCACAGGTGGTAACAGTGATAGTAAAAAAAAAAAAAAGGTTTATACAAAGTATGGTGGAGCCTCAAGACTTCGAAACAAGTTAAAATCAAGCAATTCTGTACAAAAGTACGTAATACATGACGTTAAAAAAAAAAAAAAAAAAAAAAAAAAAAAAAAAAAAAACTCATTCCTTTCAATAATATCGTAAATGTTCTTATAGATATTATAATCATAAATTACATATCTTATAAATAACTTGTTTCACCTTTTGATATAAACGTAAAAACATTTATTAAGTTTAAACTCTTCAGTTTGTTAAACAATTTCAATTGTAATTTGAAAGAAGATTTTACGATTTTTGCACTTAGAGAAATGACAGCGTTCTGAGAGCTGGCTATATGCCAGCCTGTTTAGAAGATATATTAAATATTATGTATATACATATATATATTATATATTAAGTATTTTAAGTATGGCAGCACTTGCTAGAGTTTATGGGTGAAGAAAATTATCTCGTAACGTAACCTAACGGTGAAAAAACTCGGAAAGACTTCGCTATAGACGTTTTAATGCACACACATATGAAACTCAAAATTACTAACTTTAATTTGGCTACGTCTCATTCATGCAATCTAAACTGCGTCACTTAAACAACTAACCGCATTATGGCGTCTACATTGCTGTAAGATCTTTGTCCAATCGCCATTCAGAACTTTTTTTTCAAGTATCTTATTTAATACTTAACTTGTAGCGTTTTCTAGTGTATATTGCACTACCATAAAGAGATAGCGCAATATACACTAAAAAACACTTGACTTAAACAAAATATGGTTTTAAAAAGCAAATAAATGCCAAGTAGAAAAAGAACTTTTATTATTATTATTATTATTTGTGTTTTAGATGTAGCTTAAACAGATTCTTAAAATTAGAATTTGTGATATTTCTAACAAAATCGTTTTTTAAACCATGATGCAGTGGCGTAGCTAGGGTGGGGCAAGAGCGGACGTCCGTCCCCGGGCGCAGCATTCAGGGGGCGTCAAATTGATGTTACGAAATTTTAGAATGAAATGCTTTCCATTCTTGGCACACAGAAAGGGGCGCAAATTTTCAGTTGTCCCCGGGGGCTGAAAACCCTAGCTACGCCTCTGCCATGATGTGTAGCGGCTAAAATAATTTACCACCGAATCACAATATGTAAAGTCAGACGTGGTGAATCTCATTAGATGTAGATTAATTGTTGCAGTCAAAGATAGCAGCAATTTTAACTAACAGTTTGTATGAACCGTGAGTATTACTTGATTATCTTCACTATGGACCTCGGCAATCGTTTGGCTTTTTAATACGTTGTTTCATTCTTCCTCTACGTCCTCATTATCGATTTTGAAAGAATTTTATCGCCTAATCTACAGACGTACTAAAACATAGTCTTATCATTAAATATCATTAAAATAAAAATACTTCCTTCACTCATCCCAGATACCGAGCAATCCAGAAAAACTAAAGACAAAACTTGCTCACTTACCTGGGTAGTGTGATGTTGAATCTGTAATAAAAACTCTAATATGTTGATTTATTTAATTATATTCTCTCTATACTACAAAATATACATTTTTTAACAATTGTCGGGAAATTTTTCTGGCCCCGAAAGTTATTACACACTTAATCAGTTCACGTCACGCGGTCGAGTCGAAAAGGGAAAACCCTTTTTTTTCTTCCTACTTCAATGACAGCCAACGCCATCTGTGTCTCGTACATCAAAATGAAGAGATTTGTTTTTAATATTTGTTAGATACAGCTAATCAGTTTCACAACAAACTCAATGATACACTTAATCGAGTTCAACTAAAGTATTGATTACAGGTACGCTCTCGGAACTGCAAAATTTTTAAAGCTGAAAAATATTCTTTTTGTTTCGTGAAAATGGTGTTTCAAACTTCAATATAGAAACAGCTGCGTAGAGAAGACTACAAAAACTATAATCAATTCTTAATAGATATATTAACGACCTGGTAGTAACAAGTAATTATCGTTTACTTTTAAGGTCACGTTTCAAACTTCAAGGAAAGTATCGGTAATTGTTTTGAATGGCAAATTACCGCTGTCTGAAAACTGAGGCATTAACACACAAAAGATTATTTATGAGTTCGATTAGGAAATACTAAAATAAAAATATTTGCAGCGGCTAAGTACTTCCTCTAGCGATTATGCTGCTCAAGAAAAGCATTACCGTTTAATCCAGCAGAATCTTTAAACGAAAAGATTACACGAAGTATAATTGATTCTTTTTATTTCTGTCTAACTAGCGCTAGTGCATTAATATGACAAGAAAACTTTATTATAATCAGTCAGTAGTCCTGTTTGTTTTGCAATGACGAAAACCGGATTAATAATTATCATAAGTTGCACTTCGTATTTTGATTATTAATCACCACACTATGAATACATTGGGTTTTGTCTATAAGCGTTATGTTGTCACGAAAACTATTAAGCGGTTTCATAATAAATGGAGAGGATAATAACTTATAACGCAGCAGAATATCAATTAACTAAGCTTTCGAGGTGAATGTGCTATTTATTGTTCTGTTTTCAAAATTTATGTAAGTGTACTATAAAAGTCCTCATATCGCCTTTATTTTAGAAACCGTAAAATGCTGTGAATATTTATGTTTTGGTATTTTCCCATTTACCATTGGATTTTGTAAAAATCAGGAAATCTAACTTTTCATGCGGTTCTCCAGTCTCTGTAGTTATATTTAGTAAAAGTTTATACTCGTTCTAAAAAATAAAACATAAAAAGTTGACGACAGACATTGATAAAGATATTTAATTCTTAATTTTACCAACTAAAACGTGAAATGCTTACATTCATACGCGAAAAAAAATCAAATATCAGTTTAACAAAAACGTTCGTGATGTTAACAGAGTAAGCGATGAGCATTGCTATGCGCACAGTAGCGAAAAGTATTCATCAATATAATTTTTTTCAAGAAGGGTATCTTTTTCACAGAATCTTATAGAATTCGATTTCTAGAAAATAGCTGTAGGCTCGTAGCATCACACACAGTAACTCGCACTATCACATGCATTAGCATATTGTGATAAGGTGGCATAAAGTTCTTTGTCGAGGGTGAGTGATTTCAGAGTGCAATAGTTTTCATGTCAGGGGCGAAATCCTCTGCCTTTGTTAACGATTCCGGTTGCAGCCTCGAAGGTTGCTCCAGTGACAAAGAGATAAGCGAAGTCTTTTTATCAGGTTTAGGAGATGGACACTTTGTTAGGTATCAGTGAAAGAATCTTCCCCTCTTCCTGGGAGTTCAACGCAAGTAAACACAGGGAGATATATAAGGTGGTTTCCTGAGAAGAGTGGGAGACTTTTCTGTTTAGAGCTATGGGCATGTTGGCCTGCTGAGAACGATCATTCCTCATGTATAATGCGTTAGAGCATTTTTCCTGTAACAAAATTCTGAAATTACGGGGCTAAAGATATCCAAGTCCCATACTGTCAAGATATGCGACTGTTAAGGTTTTCATCTTATTAAAATTCATGTTATTGTTAAAACTTGAGTTTGAAGTTTATTTCAACCCTGTGTCACAACCCACGGTTTGCGTAGCGGTTTCGGCCACTGCGCCACAATGTATATGTATTAGTGTTCGTCCGTCTCAAACGCAATTTTGGCTGGCATTCTGCCAAAACGTATAAAATTGTTCAGAAGGGGCGCGAGGTGAGATGTCACGTGAAAGTCCTCTCTTCGCCGGAAAGAGTCGAATTTTACACGACTGAGGGAGGAAAATTCTCGATGTCATCGGGTGATCCTATCGTCAATTATCTTTCGCGCCTTTGGTTCCTATTTGCAGAAATAAATGCTAAGATTCGTATTAATTTGCCGCCCAGAAAGCAAGAAAGTTGATTTCTATTTCATAATTTATGAACTTTATACGAGTAACGTATATTTGATTGCTTACTTTTAAAATTACTTTACTTCTCTAAAAGTCATCAAATTGTGTTATTTAGGGAAAGAATACTTTTTGTAGTTAAAAAAAAAAAAGAATCCGGTCAATGGATTTGAAGAAATAAATGAGCCTAAATAGATTGTAATATCAATGAACATTTTTAATGACAGAGATTAACTTAAACATAGTTGCATACAGCAGAGAAAAAGGGCGAAGAAATAAGAATGGTATACATACATACGTAATAAACAGTTACGTCATCATTCATCACCGCGCGGATAAACGCGAACGGCGCATGCGTCAGGAGAAGCTCTCTTAAGCTAAACGTCGTATTATAATTTATGATACAACAATCCCCCTTTCGACGTTTGGCGGCTGAAAAAAAAAATAAACATTAATCATTTACAGTTATTCCAATTAATTTACAGCACTTAGAATGTTTCGAAGCAGTCAATGTTTTTGTCAGTACATCTGCAGGCATTTTCTCTGTTGGCACATATTTAACGTCTATTTCATTTCTTTCATAAATTTCACGAATGAAATGATGTCTAATATCTATGTGTTTAGTGCGTGAGTGATAAACAGCATTTTTCATAAGCTTTTGTGCACCTTGATTATCACAATATATAATGGTTGGATAATCAGCAGTAAAATTTAATTCTTTAAGAAAACGACGTAAATAAACTGCTTCTTTGGCACTTTCTGAAAGACTGATGTACTCTGCTTCAGTACTTGATAATGCAACAGTTTGTTGCTTTCGTGATTCCCATGTTATCGGATTTCCAGCTAGCTTGAATAGGTAACCTGTATACGATTTTCTAGTATTAACATCAGACGCCCAGTCGGCATCGGTATATCCAATAAGTGCTTTTCCAGTCTTTCGAAATTTTAAACAATAATTTTTAGTTCCTTTTAAGTATCGAAGAACGCGCTTTGCAGCCAACCAGTGTAATTTTCCAGGATTGTTATTAAATTGGCTCAGGTGACTGACGGCATATGTAATATCCGGCCTAGTAAACACAGAAAGATACATAAGCGAACCAATTAGACGGCGATAAGGTGTACATTGTTCATTTCTTCCTTTTCAGTTTCAGAAGGACACATTTCTTTACTTAATTTTACACTAGGATCTAAAGGAGTTGCTACTGGTTTTGCATCTTGCATATTAAACCTTCGTAGAATATTATCAACATATTTCTGCTGAGATAAACTAATAGAATTATTATTTACATCTTGATTAAATTCTATTCCAAGACAATAATGAAGTTTGCCTAAATCTTTAACATGAAATTCTTTAGAAAGATAACCTTTAAGTTCAGCATATAAATCACAGCTATTTGTTGCTATTATTAAGTCATCAACATATAAAATTAGAATTAACTCACCTTGAGATGTTTTCATCCTGTATACACACTTATCTGATTGTAATGGTTGTAATCCAAAGTTTTTGAGTTTTTTGTCTAATTTTTCATACCACTGTCGTCCACTTTGTTTCAAACCATAAAGAGACTTTTGCAAAGCATAAACATAATCAGGATTATTTTGGTCTTCAAAACCTTTAGCTTGTTCCATGAAAATTTCTTCTTTTAAATCTCCGTTAACATAAGCCATAACAAAATCTAGTTGATATAACATAAGGTCTTGTTCAGCACTGTATGCAATCACAGTTCTTATAGAACTTGCTCTGGCTACTGGAGCAAAGGTTTCATTAAAATCAATTCCAGGTTCCTGTGCAAATCCTCTAGCAACCAATCGAGCTTTTCTCTTTTGAACTGTTCCATCTGCATTATATTTCGTTCTAAGAACCCAGCGACATCCTATTACCTTTTTGTTGTGTGGTCGCTTTACTAATTTCCATGCACCATTTTTAACAAGTGCTTCATACTCACTTTGCATAGCCTTATGCCATTCTTCAGCATAACTTCCATTTAATGCTTCTTCTAATGTCGGATTTGTATCTTCTTCAGCAATTTGTGCTTCTTCCTTTTCTATGTTTATATTGTGGTACTCCTTTTTTGGTCTTCCTGGCTTCCCAGTCTTGACTTTCTTTGGACGACCTGGCCCCCTTTTAATCTGCATTTCAGGTAGTGCTTCGGAATCAGAATCTTCATTATCAGATGATTCAGCAGATGCTTCTGCCATATTTGAGGGGTCTTCTGTTATTTCATCAGCCGATATTTGCTTTACATTCAGAGGTTCTTCCTTCTTTTTATCAGGAATATTTTCGAGAAATAAAACTTCTAAATCTTTATCATAATTAGTACAGTTTTCAAATTCATCAATGAATCTAACATCTCGGCTTATAACGATTTTTCTGGAATTTTTATTCCACAGCCTGTATGCTTTCGATTCATTTGAGTATCCTACAAATATATGTTCTTCTGATCGAGGATCGAATTTCCCTTTAGACCTTTTATTAAGTACAAAACATTTCTGTCCGAATACTTTGAAGTGAGATACAGTTGGCTTGATGCCAAAAAATAATTCATAAGGTGTTTTGTTTACTCCCAGGCTTCGATTCGGGCAACGATTACGAATATAAACAGCACAGTTCAAGGCTTCAGCCCAAAAGGATTGGGGAAGATTACTTTGTAGTAACAAACATCTGGCCATTTCAGTTAAAGTGCGGTTCATGCGTTCAGCTCTCGAATTCTGTTGAGGAGTCATTGGTGCAGAGAATTCTCGTTTAATCCCGCATTCTTGAATAT